AAAGTTTATATCGCTTCTGAAGATTTTCTGCAAAAAGATTACGCGCAATGCAAATAGATGCGAGAAATGAAAGAAGATTTGCCGAAGATTGATTCGCTAGTGTGATATTTTTTGAGCATCTAGAATTGAGATTTAGAGGTGTCGCCCCCCCTCGGTTGATTGGTTCTCTATACATTTCTAACTTGAAAATATTGTTCTACTTACATAGACAGGACCTTCCGAGTCTCCAAAACGTGGCCAAGATTCCAGTAACTTAGAAATTTTATTCTGTGCTTTAGGGATTTCCTTGATCATCTGCAACCGAAACGGATAAGTTTTCTTCCACTTCTCCTTGACATCGGCTAAAGGTGTGTTATTATTTTGTAGCCATGCCTGATCTTCCTTCAGCGAAACTAAATCTAAATAAAACAAATTAAATAATAAAAAAAACTAAATAGTATACTGTCGTTCTTAAACATATCTGTCCCAAAATCACAACAAAGTGTAACAATTTTCAACTCTTGATAAACATTTCAAAATATCCTATCTGCATTGACCGATTCTCTTCATCGACTTTCTCTTTCGTTATTAACTCAGTTGCAAAGCCATTCCCTGTTGTATTTGACGTTTTGAACGATAGATAAGAACCTCCTTTATCAAACCATGTGGTAAAAATAGCTTGAAATCTGTTTGAATAGCAGTGGTTGTCAAAAGAGAAAGTCGATGAAGAGAATCGATCAAAGAGCTAAGCGAAACAATTTTCTAGAACTTGTTTAAGGCACAGTTGTAACAGGTTGTATTGCCTATCAAAAGCAACAGCAAACGTACCGAGAAACGTTAAATCTAGCGAGTTATTAACAAAAGAGAAAATCGATCATCGCGTTTACGCCCTTATGCATGCTCACTGTCGATATATTTACCTTCAGGGCCGTACTTTTGATTGGATACGTCACTTTCGTTGGAGTTTTGCAGTTTCACTTTCTTCTTGCGTGGTGACTGGAGAGCTTTCCGGTCACTTGAGTTATAGTACTGATGATACAACAGACCTGACGGATTTATCTTTCCGATAGATTTATCACGCGGACACAGATAAGTTTCCTGAAAAAATTAAAAAGTGCAAAATTAGAACGAATCATAATGAAAATTGTCTATAACAAAACTAGCAGAGTACTTTTCTTTCAGAGCCAAGTTTAGCAACGATAAGTTCTGCGAATTTGTCCATATCAGCGACTGGGAAATTTTTCCCTTGTGCGATATACGAGTCGACTATAATCTGACTGAGTTCTTTTTGCATCACTTTGTTTACAGTTTGGTATTTACTGTAATATCGCATTATTATTTTTCCTTTCTCGTTAACGTTTAATAATCTGTCGAGGTCTTGCGCTTGAACCTGTGACTTGGCGAAGTTAAGTTTAGAGCAAATTTCTTTAGCAGGCTGGTACTGTGCAGATGAGGGCCAATTACGTAGTTTGTTCAGTAGTCGGAACTTCTCTCCCGTTCGACAGGGTTCAAACAGTTCATTTACATCTGCTATTGAAACTTGTTTCAGGTCTTCATACTCTAGTCCTTTTTCTGAAATAACGAATTTAAGTAAAAAACAGATATTAGGAAAGACCGTGGGAAAGATTGATCAATTAAAATTAAAAATTAAATATCGTTAGAAATTCCGATGTTGGTTTGCGTGGACGTGGATTATAGAGTATTCCTCTGTGCCAACATACACTTCAGAAAAACAACAATTAACGTACCTTTCAATAGCACATAAATGCTGTTGCTCAGTTTCCATTCGTCAAGCTGCTCTTTAAGAGGGGAGCTTGGAGAGCAGCTACTAGCCGAGCCACCGTCGTAAGTCCCACTCGATTCGGAATGCTCCGGAAGGTCTGAAGAACACCTAATATTCTGGTTCACTTTTTTCGGAAGCACCTCTTCGACTTCGCATGTTTCGTTTATGTGTTCTAAATAATGAAAGAAACGATAAAAAAATAAGTTAATGGCAACAGTTTTATTGCAATAATATAAACCCGTAAATAAATAATATGAGCCAAGCGTAGATCCGAAGTTTATTCATTATCTCATTGCAGAGAACATAACCTTAAAAAATCCAAAACCTAATAACACGAAAATATGTAGGAGTATGATAAAAATTACCTGCATTACAATCCGTTCCTCTTCCGACAGTACCAGCCGCCGAAACTGAAGGTTGCTCTTCCTGCTTCTCGTCTTCGTCCTGCGCTTCCTCGGAAGAGGAATCAGTCCCGCTCTCCCGGTCGCTCTCGTATACATTTACGAACTCTGGTTCTCTACGCATTTCCACTGCTTCCACACTTACCTTAACTATTTAGCTCAGATGCTGCGGAAATGTAATTTATTATATTTCAACAATTTTTTTTTTCGGAATCTTCACACCTCGCGTGTTTGTGTTGTTATGTGAAATCCAGAACAGTGCATGCAGAATGGATGGTAAAAGACTGACGCATGGAATTGGCATCAATGCCACACTGAAAGTCAACCTATTCTAATTTTAAAAGTTTACACTTTTAATTTTAAATGGAAATCAACCAGATTTCACTTTTGATTTAAATGATATATTCTAGGAATAAGATTTTTCATCTTGATTTACCAAATTTAAGCGAACTTTTAAAAGAAAAGTTCAATATTTTCAAGGACACAATCTTTTTGTTTTGTGTGTAGCGCCCCTCCATGGTACCAACAATCAATACGAAACTAACGATTTTAAATTGGCTCACTATTTGACTAGCCTATTGGTCCCAAGCAAATCGATTAACGTATCCCATTTTAGTCGAAATTCTAGTACTACACTATGTTTGTTTTGATTCGCTATGAAAGTTTGACAGATAAAATGAGGGGTTAGTGGATTTTCCTATGTTTCGAGGGGTGAATCGATTAGCTTGGGACCGAAGATAGTACACGCAGAGAAATGATTTTTAAATTCAAATAGATATATTTTTGACTCAGGGCCTAATATATTTTTGGTATTGATTCAAATATATTATTCGGTTAACTCAAAGAAAAATATTTTTGAATCAACAAACCGGTTGTAGAGTCAATAATCTGTCTGTTGATTCTAAAAACCATTTTGTTGATTCGAAAATATGTTTTGTTGAAATAGTGATACAATGTGTTTGAATCAATAACAAAATACATTAGGCCCTGAAACAAAATACATTAGGCCCTGAAACAAAAAACCATTTTTCTGCGTGTACCAGAGCTGAGCCAAAAAGTTGAGCTCGTTTCTTCGGGACCTTCTGGTCTTAGAGTTACCTCTATGATGGTACTTCGTATGGGAACGAGCTGTCAGTTTGTTAGCTTAGTGTCAAACAGTGAGGTGATTATTTTGCTTTTAATCTTGATTTAAAAATTGAGATGGAAGTAAATGGGATCGAAAAAAATATCGTTGTGCTCAAAAAACGACACCCTTTAAGATGATATATGAAAACTGACATATTTTTCTAAATTAAAGAACCTAATTGATTGCCTGTAAATTAATGTTTTCCAATTCACGATATAATCCACGTAAAGTGACCGATATTACAAAACCATCAATCGAACTTACTGACAACCATAACCATTACCATTAAAGTTCTCAAACAATGAGTTAAAAAGTTCTAATATAGTTCTATTTCCGAAAATGTATGAATTAATTAATTAATTAATTTTCTCTATTTAGGAGATATAAAATGTATGAAGGAAAATGGTAATAGTTGTTAACAACAACAATAACCCACATGGGAGAACTATTCCATAAATGGTTTGAATGATACCTTACAAATAATACGTTGTTTTTCCGTTGATCCGACAGTTAATGCATTGGTTATCTGTCAAATTTACGCCAACGTAACGCAAGCTGACCCATTGTGCGTGACTCTTTATAGCGGTACTAAAAGTACGCATGATTTGACATATGAATTGTGGATACAACTGATTACTTGAAAATGCGTAAATCAAATGAGTATCCCGGATTTACAGTGTATCAACATGTCGCGCATGAAAAGTCATGTCACATCCATATAAGTTGTCGCATGACAATATGTATATCTGATTTTCGTTTCTGATGAAGGGGAAAGACAACTTTGATATTTGAATTCTTTATAAATATTTCTTATTATCTGATAATAATAGTTTTTTTTTTTTTTTTTTTTTTGTTTATTAATTTATTTGGTAAGGCTCAACCGAATTAACTTTACAGAGCCGAGGATTCTTGGTCACTATACAATACATCTTAAAAATATAGTCAAAAGGTACAATACAATAAACACTTTATCTTCCGCTATCCAAAAAGCCTCCTCCATCAGAACTGGAGCCGCTTCCAGTAGTTTCATTGTATGGCAAATTGTTGTACGCCAACGAGGGTCAGAGCGCGTCCATTGCAGCAATGGACGCAAAACGTGGTCAGCACTCACACACTCATCACGAAACGGTTGCTTTCCAAAGTCGACGACGCATCGACCGAAAGAACTGCTGATGAAGAACAATGAGGAGGACCACACAATGGTTGCTGCCGAGAAAACAGACGATCGCGTAGCACACATCGAGAGTGGTCTGCTTTTGTCGACAGCCGAGTGAACACTGATAATAATAGTAATCTAATAACATCGAAAATATTTACTTATTTTCAAAAACTAATGCCTGTAAATGGTAGAATTTTTCATGCTCAACAATGTTTGTTCTAAGGATACTTTTGTTTGTAGTCTAAGGAAAGGAAATTAAAATATTAAAAAAATGTTGATATTTTCAGCCAACCAAGTTGTCCCGCCCCCTGTTTCTGATGTATAGCGAATTCGTTTATTATTCAGTTCCAACCTGGATCGGGTATCAAGATTGGGTCTGCTTGTTTTCTGACAAACGTCAGTTTGTTCGTTTGTTTTTAAAACCTAGCTCAGGTTGAGGTTCGCACTGACAAAAAGTTCGGTTTCACACTGGGTTGAAACTGGTTCCAACCCCGATAATAAACGAATTCGCTAGTAGTTTCATTTTGACTGTCAAAACTTGAAACCAAAACGAAAACAAAACCCGACTACGAGGAGAAAGGATTTCCTTTTTCCACTTTACTTCTACAGAAAACATCGATTAAAATACCTTCAAATTGTTGTATAAAATATACGCAATGGCCACCTCACCTTCATCAAGTGAAACGACGGAACGCAAGGAAGAGCTAAAGTTGGAAACCAACCCCAAAATAGTCACGAAGGCCACAGAAATCCTAGAACCGCTCCCCAGCTCAACGGTGGACAAGAATCTGGATAATGTCCTGGAAGCCGTCAAAACCGTGGACCAGACGTGCGATTTCAAGAGATGCAAGCAGAAGACAAACATGATGGGCAGTAATTGTGGGTTTTGCAAGCAACGATTCTGCTTCAAACACGGCCTGCCGGAGATACACGGATGTGGTGAAGCGGTGAAGAAACAGGAACGGGAGGAATTCATGCATCCTCTGCCGGCGAAAACGGTCCAGGCTCAGGAGGATCTGAAAAAGGCACACAGCCGGTTGGATAAGAAGCTGAAGCAGATGAATTTGGGCCGGAAGGCGAAACCATCGGGTAGTTCTTCGTCGGAGGGTGGAGGAAGTAAGAGGAAAGGGAAATCGTAATTTTCTTCAAATTTGGGTTTTTATTTCAAATACGCTTGTTGCTGTGAAACACCTAAAATACATTGTTTTTACGAGTAAACTAATATTGATAAGTATTTTATTTCGTAGTATTAGTAGTAGCAATAGAAATAGTAATTCAATCGCATTCCGACCGAGTCCTGAAGATTGTCCACCCTGTCTTTCTCTCTCTCAGTCCTTTTTCTTAGGGGACATAGTTGGGATTTTTCCTCAGAATGCAGAAACCTTCCATGATGGGTGTGAGCGAGATGTACTCCTCGGTGGCCAGTTCGGCACGTTCGCCCATGGCCAGCAGGACAGGAGTGGTGTGCGTCTGGAAGCCGGTGATGGTTTTTGGCTTACCTGCTTGGCCAACCACGTCGACAGCCTGAGAAGAGTTAGAAAGTTCGTTACAAAGGGATTCTGAGATGATGATGATGGTAGGTGATACTTACCATACCGACGCGAACGGGAACCGGACATGGGCTCAAGTCTTCCGTGAAGGTGATCAACATTCGTGGCTGCATGGCAGTGGCCAGTGTGTACAGCAGGTAGTGCGATTTGCCCAAGATGACTATAATTTGGAAAGTTAGTTAAGTTGGATTAAGCACTTGAAGTACGACAACTACTTACTGTTCTTGACATCCATGAAGGAAACGAGAGTGGCCATTAGTCCAGCCACTGCAACTGGGCTCATCAGCTGTCGGTCGCTGTGATACGGACTGAGGGTCAGTGTTCCCTTGCCTAAATGCGTCAGCCCTTGGGCGATGCGAACCATGAACAGGTTGTTCGGGTCCTTGGCATGGTATTGAGCCAACTGACGGAGCATAGCGGCCAATCGGGCGTTGTTGGTTCCGGCTCCGACCAGTCCCATAGCGAAGATGGAATTGTGAGCTACTTCTGCATCGCTGTCGTGGGAGAACTTGCTCAGCGTGTCCAAGATGTTCAACTTCGGGTTGGAAACGGAGATCAGGCCGAGGGCCAGCGGGACAGCACGACGGATGCAGGGTTCGCAGTAACGGAGCAGGTTTCCGAACGATCTGAATGCCATTTCCGATCCAATTTCTTCACCCATGGCAATCAGGGCGATTCCGAGCACGGCCACAGATTGGCAGGCCGATAGGTCCTTCTCCTTGTCTTCTTTTTCCTTCTGGGCGGCAGCAGCAGCAGCGGCAGCATCCTTCTTCGACGAGGAGCTTTCACTTTCCGATGAAGCAGGCTCGTAGTGTTCCGAGCAGAGATGCAAAAGTTGTTGAATCTTGAGAACGTTTCCGGTTCCGGCGTAAGCGCAGATTTCGACCATAGTGGTGGCCATCGAGCGGAACGGTTCCTGAATAATCTCCAGAGCTGCAATTACGGCTTCAGCTGCTTCCTGACGACCAAGATAGACGAGGCCCAGCCCAAGTGGAAGGAACCGAGCATAGGTGTCCTTCAGTTCCAGCTCCGAGCGGTCCATGATGGTTTGAAGCAATACTTCGGTCACATCGCTGTTGCAAGACCCAACAGCGATCATACCCAGGGACAGGGCAGCGATTCCCATCACTTCCATTGTCGATCCAGTGCGACGTTCCGAACTGAACACCGATCCAATCAGTTCCAAGACTACAGATCTGTTGGATCCGGCGTAAGCCAGCCCCAGACCAAGAATTGCACCGATTCTCATAGTACTATTCTGGTGGAGGACATAATCGGACAGCAGGGCCAATGCCGGATCGACCTCGTTCCTAACGCCGCAATTTACTATACCGCAAGCTAGCAGAGCTCCAGACTTAATATAATCCTCATTGGAATACAGATACTTATCGATCGGAGTCAAACCACCATCGACGTCCCACAGAAGGATCAACCCCAGGGAGGCAGTCGCGCTCAGCATTCCGTGCTCCTTGTTCTTATACAACCACTTATTGCCATCCTCCATCAGCAGCTTATCCTGGCCGAAGCCAGCATTTACGAATCCATTCACGAAGCTGGCAGCCAAGTTCTGCCTAGCCGAATCAATCTGCGATCCAAATGGAGTACGGGAATTATCCAGATGCGACTTGTAGACATCTTCCGGCGTTTTCGGTTCCATGATGTCCAGCTCACGAGCCAGATTCAAAAAATGATTATTCAAATGCGAGTTGGACATAATCTCCACCAGATCGTCGTAATCGTTCGATCCTTCTGGGAGTTCCAGGAAAATCTGCTGCCTTCCCAGCATGAAAGCCAGCTGCTTCTGAAGCGCCAAATCATTGCACGACGTAAAGATATCCTGAATCAGCTTCATGTCATTGATCATCAAGGCCAATCGCATCGCCTGGGTGTGCATATTGAACTTCCGGGACAAATTCAGCGCACACTTCAGCAGACTGATGTTCTCCGGTTCCGGTACGTACGGAACGCAACTCTGCAGATACAGACAAACCCTCGGGTAGGCGCTTTCATCCACGTAGGCCTCCAGCAGATCCAACCGCTCGATCTCCATCAGAAGATCGCATGCTTCCGCCTCGGCGTTGTGTGCCATATTGTACGGAATAATCTGATGGATTAAACAAATCAATCGCTTCTTGAAATCATCAGTCGTTTCCGGCCAATTTGAAGCAATCTCCCCGCTCAGATGCCGCACGTATTCGTGTCCCCAATCTCCAATATTCTCATTGCTATCGTCACAGAGCAGTCGATAGACCAAGCACTCCTTCCCGGTTCCCATCGTCATGGCCAGAACCGAGATAATCTCTGCGCACAGCTTGGTCGTTACCTTGTCCTTCAGCGTTGCCGTCATTGTCTTGTGAATCTCCTTCATCGTTTCAAAGTGCAATCGCATAAACTTCAGCGGCTTCGGAACCGACGTCATCGAGGTAGTTGACGCCTTGATCAACTTGGCCATCGTTTCCAACGCCGGATTGTACAGTTCCGTTGCCGGTTCCTGCAGTCTCTCTACCAGCATATTCAACTCATCCTGCAGTTGCTTATCCTCATCGCTCTACGGAAGAAACAAACTCACAGATGACAAAGCATCTTTCAACAACACAAAATCCTACCAGATCGGTTTTTTCCTCCTCCTTCTCCTTGGTTTTGCCCTTGACGGGGGTTTCTTCAATCTTTTCCGTCGTTGACATGGTGCCGTTCACTTGGGATTACGGTGAGTTGCGCGATTAAATTCTACGAATTTCCGAGTGAAAACTTACGGACAAAACACTTTTGCGATTCCGCAGACAAAATGACGATGAGTTGTGAAAACAGTGTCAGACAGAAGACAGCTTTCTAGGTTATGAGGCGAAAACGAAACGAAGATGATTGTCAAAATCGAAGCTTGACAGCCGAAGATAAAAAAAAGTTCCGAATGTCGACACGGATTCGGTCGTCGACATGCATGTGCAGAAAGACCCGGTCGTGAAATTATCGCGAGTAGCTTTTCAAAACGACCAGCCTATTTTATAAAACAACGATAGAGTTTGGCGAGAAGGATCAACTATAGAACTTTTTGACGTTTAATCGTCTTTCTCTATCTAGCACACATGGATGAATGGACGGTTTGTTTTCCCACTAATCTGTTTCCCTCTTGCTCGCACTCGTTCGATTTAAATGGTGCAGTATAGTGTACGCCGATTAAACGTCAAAAAGCTCTATGGTCTGAGCCAGTCTAAAGACAAAAAAAAACAATAGAATTTTCGCGTCACTTTTCAAATAGACCAATGTAACATATCCACCATTTTGAGAAAATCGAAGTTGAAGTTCGACAGATTATTATTTTAACTGTTTAAAAACAATACATTTTGCAATACTATTTTTAATGTAGTCCGTGTATAATAACGTTGAAAATTCAGAAGAAACGGTAAAATCACAATTTTGATTTCAATTTCATGCTACAACATAGAAAAACCACATACGACGTTTTGACAAGTCGAGTTGTACATCGGACATGTTACATTGGACGATTTTTCTCAATGACATAATCAATCAGTGTTACATTGGACGTTTTGTCTACATGATACTAGATTCCCTTTCACAGATTTCAGAGTATAGTACCTAACTTTAGATTGGCCTCGCCTTTGGAAAATGAGCACCAATCATGTTAGGCAGTCCGAATCACAAACGAAGTGACAGACTACTAACTGGCGAAGAAATCAATTAAAATAATGTGGTTCGCTGTAATAGAATTTTCTTAGAAGGTTGTGCCATCATCCACCAGATGGGATAGTATTTTTGTTTTGGTTTTGCACAAAGTTGATTTTGTGTACAATGATTCTTTGACAGTGTGCAAAGAGTGCGTATCATTTTGTCATTTTTTTTATGCATTTCAGTTTTGAGTAGAGTGAAAGAGATAGAACCAAAACATTCTAGTACATTTGGTGAAAATGCTAGTTCAATCTCGAGTTCAATCCAGTAGTAGTGTTGCCATGTGGTTCAATCCAGTATACGCTCGGATAGCAGGGTTAATCCACAGACAAACAGACATAACACATTGAATATTTCTCAATGTAAAACATCTTCGCTAAAACACTATCGCCATCTGTTGAGTACACTGTGGTGGGTAGTACGCTGAACAGATGGCGGTAGTGTGTAAACGTCAAACGCAAGGGAATTGACTACTGAACAACTTGCGAGTGTTATGTCTGTTTGTCTGTGGTTAATCGATAACTTTCCATCTGTCAAATTTTATCCAAAAGCTAAAATAATCCACCAAATGGTTAAGAGGCTAAATGAGTAAATATTACCCATTTATGGGTATTTTTTAATTGAAAACGTTCGAAAGTATCCTATCTCGATTGGTGGTGCATTGAGAATCCTATTCGGTGCAGTGTCCTGCCCCCTGTGTGTACCAGAATTTTCATCTTTGAATTTCGATGCTTTTCAGTGCCGGGCACCATCCGTCGACAAAACAAAAGCCAGTAAAGCTGATGCTTGTTGTGCTTTCGGCTTCGGCGACTGCGCTAGTGTTCGTGAGGGAGGAAAATCCGTATCAGAACTTTTGACATTTCCCTTTCAGTTACTGCGGTTTCTTCCCATCGTTTCGGTAGTGTTTTTCTCGTGTCCTGAGGAGCCAGCCCAGTGCCAGGTGCTCGTCGCGAGCAGAGAAAGAAAAGTCATCGCTGCAAATTTTCCGATTTTTTTCAGTGCGTGCGTTGCATATCGAAAACAATCATTGTTAGTTTGGTTCTTATCCAGAAGACGGACTGTAAAAATCAATTTCACCATACCGTTAGTTAGCGGGATCGAGGTGTGCATTTTTTGTGAGCCAGCAGCAGCAGATTGAAGCAATCTGAGTCTTGTAGGAATAACACAGTAGGCCGATGGCGGTGCACTCTTGGATCGGTTGGGAGGCAATGTGAGTAAGTAATCCCGAGTTGAATTTTGCTCAGCAATTGAGCATAAAGAGTATGGAATAAGAATAAACTGATACGCGAAGGACGAAGGGAGGAACGTGTGGCTGGATCAAGGTCGTGGTCAGAAAAGGTGGAGAAAATTACCCATGCAAGCTTAAGCCGGGCTATGCTTCTTCGATTATCGTATTTCAACTACAAAGACGGCGGAGAAAAGTGCCGTTGGATTTATTGTTGAATAATTTATACTCGGTTTTGGGTTGCTGCGATTGGAATCGATCCAACTTGACAGCGGTAGAGTGGCCATGGGGAAAATTATTAGCATCACAGAATGCCGTGCTAATCTCATCTCGTACAGTGACGGGCGGTACGCCAGCGAAAACCATGGCCAGGCCTCTTTTCTTGCGACGGCTATAATAATGGAAAGCGCTAGGGAGAAAAAGAGAGAGTGGAAGAGCAAGAGTGAAACGAGTGTGTCTGGATGAGAGAAATGAAAAATCAATAAAATTGATGTTTTATTCTTGCTTTCATAGCACGGCTGGAGATTTTCCGCTGGTTGTCGTGTGGCTACCGGTGACCATGAGCAGGTATAGATGAAGTACAGATAGCTGCTCCATTTGTAGAAGTACAACTGATCCAGATAATATCAACAGTAGTCCAGCTGTGCTCGCGTTGCGAAATTTGTTTATCTAAAAGTGCTGCCATGGAGATGTACATGTTGATGGTGGTGGTAAGGAGGTGGGCACTGTGAGTGGATGAGCTTAAATATTCCACCCGTTTGCTTTGCTACTTATCGAAGTATGCCTATACGTGCATGCCTACTGGTACAACAGTAGGTCGATGTTTGTAAACATTACATTCAAAATATGTTGAGTCTTGTAGTTTTCGGCTCAGAAAATCAATCATCAGTTTTCATTGTTCTGACTATTATTATTGGCCTTATTCTCATTTCTTAGAAGCAAGCTCGCTGCCACATCTCTTTTATGTAATCAGTTGCTGGTTGGTGACAACTTTCTCAGCTCGCCACGGCGTTCTGAAGCGCGTGACATCACACGAGCTTCTTTTGTCTATTTGTTTGCTTTGCTACCGTCATGCTCTTTACTCACTTGCTCATTTTGATTAATGGGACTAAATCTGTCCGGATCTAGCATATCAACGCTGACGACTGACTGATAACAACGCGGCTAGGTTAGGAGTCGGTCGTATGCATAATTTATGAGTGCCGCGGCGACGTCTCCTATAGGTTGGCAAAAGCGTCCCATGTGCAATTACCCTACCCTCGCACAACTTTCAGAGTACATATACCTACTGATCCCACGTTGGCCATGATCTCGAAATGTATGTTCGAAACGCGTCCAGCGCCTGCTTGTTTTGCATTCTGTCACCGGTCAGCTGACGCACGAGACACGAGTGAGTGCGCACATGCTTCGACGGAAGCCGACTTGGATTAGTGTTCTTTGCTAGGTCGCGCACGCAGTCTATCCAACAGAGTGAGTGGTCTTCGGCGATGTGTATGTCGGCTTTCGACACACGCGGTTATCACCCAATGATAATATTTAATTGTGAATGGCGATAGTGATGTGCTAGCTGGTTCTAAAGTTTTGTTACTATGGGTCAGTCGTACAATTCGTTAGAAGGAGTTTGATTTTATGAAGTGGCAGTTTTAGCACTAACGGCATTGATTAGTGTTATCCACCTATTTGACTACTAATGCGTATTCGCATTGATTATGGATGACCTACTGAATACATTAAACTGACTACTGAGCTGGATGCTTTCTTCGGCAAGTATGTAGCTCTATTTCCAAGCAAGATAGCAAATGTTATGAACAATACATTTGAAGTAGCACGTAAATTTTACTAAAATAGTGTAATGTTACGTTTGCTCTAAAATGCCAATAACAACATCTTCCAAACTCATATCGATTCAGCTGGAAAACCTGGGTGAATTTTAAATGTGTGTCAACAAGCCTAATATTTTTTTTTGTTTTACAACTAATATTTTTTTTTGTTTTACAACATATATGAATTTTGTTTAATAAAGTGTTTACAACTTCAGAATACTAACAATTATGTATTAATAATTTTGATTCTTCCTTATCTTGTAACTTTAAGGTATTTTCTAACAGTTTTCATTTTCAATTTGAATTGAATATGCACATTTGTAACACGTAAGACAATTTCCGATATGACTGGTCGTTTTGTGGCACACAACTTAACACTTGTTGTTACTAAATTAGTGATCTGGCAAGCTCAAAGAATAAGGGCTTTCGCCTGCAGGCTTCCACGTATGTGTATGTTGAAGGACCTATGGAAAACAACAAATGGTTACGAGCTTTTTTCGGTGTCCGTTTGATAAAGTGAACAATTCTTAATCCCCCTTAAGATCGAGATTTTAAGCAATATTTTACATCCGTGATCTTTCCATCTTGGAAACTTTTGCTCGTTGAAGAATAACGAGATGTTTCTTAGAGTGTGATCTAGAAAAGTTGTGTATTTGTTTTTAGTGTGGTTATGAGAAGTGAAAGCTAGTGAAAATAGGTATTGAAATTTCATGCCCTGAGCAGAACAAAATCGACTGATGGTACTTTTTAATGCAAATATTAAGAATGCGTGGATGAATGGCAATATTTTGGTGGAAAAGTGTTAAAATATGTATCTAGGTCGTTTGATAGGTCATTGAAGGCTAAGCTGTACAAAGCTAGTACAAGTTTTGAATAAAATTTCAATTTTTTTTTAAATTTTTCACGTATTTTTATACTTTTTTCAAAGAGTTCCTCAGTTCAAAACTTACCGAAAGAAGAGGCCGGGATTAGTTTGTAAGGTTATTTTGGCGTTTTCGAAATTGTGTTGATAGTTTTCAGGACATTTTTAAAAATCGTTTGAGCGTTTAGAGACCATTAGGCTATGTTTTACATTTGCAAGGTCATTTTGGCGTTAAATGTTGAATCCTGATGAATGTGGGCGTCTTAGTGGAATACCTGTATAATGAGAGAGAGAAGGATTAGTTAAATGTTGGCCCGGAGTCAGATTTCTTATACCATTTCATTGATTTGAGTTACTTTGTTATTTAGTTGTAATACTTCTTTATCGTTTGATACTGCTCATCCGCAGTTTTCACGGAACACAGACGGCGTTGAGCTTGAGTTCCGTGTTCATTAAACGTGCGTTTTATTTTTCAAACTCAGGTGTACTCTGCACATCGAACGTGATAATTCGTACTTGCAAGCTAGTGTGAACATCGAGGCCTGCTATGTTGCAACAGGTTGCAACAGAAAGGGCAGATGAAAGCGATGAACGCTTCTTATACGCCTTTAGCCTACCGTATGCGTGATAATGTTCGCACCATCGTACAAATAAGGTTCCCGTTTCACCTGTGCATGCAATGCCTTGATTTTCTTTGCATGCACGTTACCTATAGTTCATACCGTAGTAGGCTGTGTATAAAAGAAAATGATTTACTTAGTTTGACAGTAGCACCATGACAAAGTGGCAGCGTATTTATGATTTGTCCCACGCGCAAATGTCGCAAAAAGACATTTCAATCGCCGTGGGAGTGTCCCGGTGGACCGTCAAAAGGGTTTTAGACCGAGAAAAAAAAAGGACAACTATCCGCGAAGGTGACCACAGGTCGTTCGAGGTCAGCTCGGGTTCCGAGGGTTAGCGCTGCTATCAAAAGGAAGATTAGGGTGAATCCAGTGCGTTCAATAAGGAAAATTACAAAGGAACACGGGATCAGTGATTTTACGGCACGGAAGATCGTAAAAGAAGATTGCGGGGTGAAGTCGAGGGCACGGAAAAAAACTCACATTATTACCAACCGCATCCGGGAGCTACGAGTCGAACGATGCAAGAAAATCTTGAACTTCATTAAGCGAAAAAATCCGGTAATTCTGTTCACCGACGAGAGCATGTTTACCGTCGATCCCGTATCAAATTCCAGAACCGACCGGTATATTAGTTCTCTTCCGGTAAAAGACGTGGCCGACGAGCACAAGAACGTGTATCTGACCAAGCATCCTGCTAGCGTTATGGTGTTTGGATTGGTGGCTTCCGTTGGCAAAAAAAATTGACTCGGTGTTCATTCCAGAAAGCGACAAGGTCACGGAGGTCTACATCAGGATTTTAAGTAAGTATGTTCTTCCGTGGATCAAAGAACAGTGCGGTCCGAAGCAAAATGTTGTATTTCAACAAGATGGGGCTCCGTGCCACATCTCGAACCGCACTCAGAAGTGGTTGCAGGAACATCTTCCGTTCTGGGCGAAGGATATGTGGCCGCCATCCAGCCCCAATCTTAATCCGCTGGATTACTCAATATGGCGCGTCATGAAGGCCGAGGCCTGTTCTAAACGCTGCCCAAGTACAGCAAGCCTCAGACAAACATTGACCCGTACCTGGAGAGAAATGGATCCAGACCACATTATTAGAACCTGCCGTGCATTCCGGAAGCGTGTGGAGGCCGTAATTGCAGCAAGCAGAAACTCGATCGATGATTAACATAGTTTAAGACTCTGAGAATCATCCCCCCTTTGAATAAGTAAAAGAAAAACTCGAAGTCGAAATTTTTGAGATTTTTTTTTAATTTTGACATTACTCAATGGCGCAAACATTATCACGTATACGGTAGATCCTCAGATAAATTTTTAGACCTTCAAGAAAGAGTGCAGCTTTTTTGATGCATTTTTAGAATGTCAGAAACTTTAATGTATCTTCAGTGAAATTTGCAGAACCTCAGGGAAGTTCAGCGGTTTAAAAAAATTAATATATATATACTGCCGGTGGACGCATAACTGTCCCATGTTACAAAACACAAAACTGAGAAAACTGCGATTAAAGTTTGAAAACACTTTTTGCCGTTGTTGTGAAATTTCGCTGTAAATTTCTGTTCTATTTCTTAAAACTGTCGAAATTTAACTGTTCCATACACAACTCAACAAAATTTTACCAAAAAAACTATTTTTTTTCGATAAAAAATCTTCTGGGACACTTATGCCGCGAATTTTCCTGATG